AGCCCGTTGCTGATGACAGGCTGTAATATCGGGTAGCGCTTAGTTTCAGTGTTTTGATTCACCTTGACGAATCATAGCGATAAAGTTTATTGCAGAGAAGGTTATGTCGAATTTATAAACATTATATATTTCAAATGGGTTGAATATAATAATCACCACATAGCCCATAGACGGCCGCTGAATATGAAGAATCTATCATAAAGAAACGCGTCGCTAGACGCGTTGGTGACTTGCACGTATCCTTGGTTGTTTTTGAAAAATGTGTAGATGACTGTCGTCGCTTCACAGAGACCAGCGGATGGAACTGCGTATCCAAGAATGCCTTGGTTTTGCCATCCCTGTAATTGAAGTGCGGCGATCTCACTCTCTTCCAGTGTATAGTAATAGCCTTTATAAAATGGGCTGTAGAGAATATTAACAGGCTTCAGGTACGGACACCCTTCCAAACTCTGCTGCAGGGTCGATACGATTTGACCGATTGGTGTATCACTGAAAGCCACGGTAGACAACAGCTTATCCGTCGGTCTGGGTCCTATGCGCACTTGATATACGGTAGCCAATTGGCTTGGAACTAAATACTGCAAATTAATACCGAAAACAAGCGTGGCTTTCAGTAAAATGAGTACCTGGTCGCGACCCACACGAGCTCCCTAAAGACAGTAATATTATTTTGACTGCAAGGTCACTCAGTCAATAACGTACCAACTCCATTGCACCAAGTCAGACCGGCAACAATGACTGCGACAATGAGACTATTCAGCTGCATACCGACGACAGAGAATGTTGTTACTGATGCGGGAACAATCACCAAAGGCTCATTATATATTCAATCCGACTTCTGCATTGCGTCGTAAAGCAAGAGCAATAATAGAGGGCAAAAGCCGCTTCAGAGTCTTATCAGTTTACATATTATTAAAGTGTTTGAATTTAGGTAATAATTCGATTTGGTTCATGCTTCTTATGACAGTCATCATTCTATATTGCTTAATAACTATAAAACAGTGAATCAGCTTTATATTCGACTCTTGTTAAGTGAGCCAAAGTAAAACATCCAATGTCGTAAAATAAGAATAGACTAGATATGCGGTCACGTGCCACTGCATTGTCAAGACGTGGAAGTTCTTATGAAATCGAGATATTCATATCAGCGTTATTAATACCTGCAAATGATGCATCGTCCAGAGCGAAGTACTTTCTTTTCCGTTCAGTTAAGTCAGGGAATACATCTTACACCGTTTCATGTCACTGGAAACATTTTCTTTCATTTAGAGAACATTTCATTTAATATAACTAGCCTGTCAGTGAACAAGGGTCTCTCATACCTGACAAACTGGACCACTTTTGTGCGCCGTTCGATTTTGTTGTATAAGTTACTCATGCAGTAGTGTTGAAAGACGTTGTACTGTGGAAGAAAATTTGGAATTTGAGCCTTTTTTTAAAATATGCATTAATATCTATATCACTGCAATTCTGCTTGTGCGTATTAATTCATTCACGAAACCATTTTTCCGTTGACTGAAATAAATACTCTACCGAAATAAGCATTAACATGGTTATGAACATACTTACCTGGCAACACCGCGGAGTTCAATGTCAAAAATATCTTCTTGGTTTCTTTCCTCTTCGAGTTTATCTCCCAACATGGCACCTGAAAAGTTGCTTCTACTGCGAAGATTCTTATGGGAATTAAAAATCTGTCAGTATGCGTTTAGTGTATTCCCTACCCACAGCTCCTCAAGTATGTACGAACCTAGGCCTAATGTGCAATGGACCTTGTCTCTTGCATCATCCCATAATTCTAAAGATCCGATGACTGGGAACCGATATTTTTCCCGTACTTGTTGGAGCTGTTTATATTGTGCAATTTTATATGATCGCCCTATCTCAAATGCACCATACCAATTTTTAAGGTTGATGTCAACGTCAGCATTGGTTCCAGTCTTAAAATTGTGGTTCACAACCACAATATCTGGCATTAGTGCTGAATTTACCGTCAGCATTATTTGGTTAATGCTCTATCGAGCAGCTCTGTTGCCATTCTGTTACGGAAACAGGTGTGTTTTTTGACATATTTTTGCGTGCATTGTCTTGCAGTGGCACAGGATGTATGGCAGGGTCCCTGTCAGGGACTTACACTTAAGACAAGACCTGATGCCTGAACGCGCATGATTACAGTTGGAAAAGAGATCGAGGTGTGCCGCGTGGACAAGGCGGAATATGACAAAGTTAGGGAAGTCGCGGAATATATGAAGTGGTTGGAAACCGTATCATGAAAAATACATTCAGCTACTTTCCCTTGAGTCATTTATTCAATCAATAATCTGCAGTAGCATGTATATCACAGAAAAACCGGCCTGTCTGCATGTATTTCATGGCAATTCATCTTGTTCAAGAAATCATGCTGGTAGAAAATCAGAGCCAAACGAGATTCGTCAATTTCGTTTCATCAGTGCAACGTGCGCTCTTAGCTTTTGCCTCAAGATATTGAAACTCATAAGGAGTACAGGTATTTTTTAATGACGAAAAAGACGTTGAAAGGATTAGAGGAACAAGAGAGGCGCTGAGTAACATCGCTCACAAACTATATGCCTAGGTTACGCGTCTCGACATGGTCCGGAACGCTGACATCCGGAAGAGCCTTGGTACACAGTCTTTGCATCTCCAGGTTGAGAAGTCACACCTGCGATGGCTTAGACATTGTTGCGAATGCCTCCAGAAAGGAAGGCTAAGCAACTATTCCTTACAAATCCGACCGGCAAAAGGCCCAGGGGACGGCCAAGATTAACGTGGTGCAAACATGTGCGAATGCCTCCAGAAAGGAAGGCTAAGCAACTGTTCCTTGCAAATCCGACCGGCAGAAGGCCCAGGGGTCGGCCAAGATTAACCTGGTAGAAATATGTGGAAGGAGTCTGTTCCACACTCCAGTTGTTTTCTGCCAATGCTCATATTCTGGCACAGGATCGGGAACGTTGGGAGCTCTCTCTGACGCGTCTGCCTCCGTGACCCAAAAGGAAAAGCGGCGATGGAAGGTGAAGATGATGATCTATATGCCAAATTCCTGGAGACATTCCTGGTCTGCGTCGATCAGTTCAGTTCATTTCAGTTTCGATGACGTCTATCCTTTCAAGTCACGGAGACAGACGCGTCAGACAGTGCTTCCAATGTTCC